ACAAATAATATTTATTTATATTATGAGCATACAAAACAAAGGATTTGAATAATCTTCTTTTCTAGTTGTATAAACTGGAGAATCCATAGTCTCTGTGGAGCTACTTTCTAATTGATTACAAATATATGGATTTATGCTGTCTTATTAAGATTGTGCTGGAGATTTAAAAAGGTTCTCAATCGAAACATGAAAAAAAAAATGTGGCCAGCTACTACTACTACTCTCAATAATGTTCAAATCATAAAAATTTTAAATACTTGTATTTATTCTAAAATATGAGTTACAAACCAATCAACAAACATGCCAGTAAGAAATCTAGAAATTATGTAAATATTGCCCAAGTTATTCCAATTCCCATGTCAACACTGGAAGCAAATTTTAGTAAAATATACACAAGCCAGTTGTAAATACTTCCAAAATTTTAATGTAATGTTGTTTTCAAAGAAGGAAACAAATACAAGAAAATGACAGCTACAGTTTTCATTAATAGATCTGACTGAAAATGAAGAGATCACTGAAGACAAAATGGTATTGGTACATATTCTCCCGCACTCTCATTCTCTCCTTCTGGAACTAGAAAGGAGCAGAACTCCCTTAAAGGGTTAAAACGCTTCCAATTTCAACAGAACTTAAGGAGAAAAAGGGAAATGTTAGGTAACATTGGTCTTTGGTAGAGTTTACAGAAATCAGGCTGCTGTAATATTCTCACACTCATCTTCACTTCTTGGAACAATCTGAATATTTCCATGGTCTTATTGAAGACAATTTCAGAAGCGCTTTTCTGCATCATTGAATGCCATTTTAACCAGGCTAAATCTTATGGAAATTTATGTTTAATTCTAAAACGTGTTCCACCCACCATCATATTCCAATTAGAGCATGACAGTGACACATCCCATGGCCCCGCCTGATTCAGTGTTGAGAATGCACACAATTTCACATGCTGGTATCTCTCCAAACCAGGAAGCCTCTTTCACCTCTAATTTGCATGATGCATTCATTTTCAGATTAGTCACATGATTAATGAGCATCTTGGAGAGTGTCCAGTTTTATCCACTCTTGTCATGTTTCCCTTACTCTCACCACCAGACTCAATTAACTCTCCCAACTATTGCCAAGTGGTGCACACAGTATAAATTATGCTTGTTCATTTGTTCCAGAAAACAATCACATCCATTGCAATTTGAAAATTGTTTTCCATTGGTAAGCATAATTAATTGTTAAAATGTGTATCAGCAAGAGTTTTCCTTCACTACGCAAACCAAGCCTTACGACTGTTCAATATTCAATATTTATTACATGATAAACTTGTACTCTACAATTTTCATCCCAAGTCCCTGAAGAAACATTGTAAATTTGTAAGGAAATTCTTATAATAAGCTGTAGTTGTAGAACTTGAATTAATCTACAGTCCTTTATCACAGCAAATAAATGTAAAACTTGCTTTATAATGAAGAAACCAAAGACTTACATTATTGTTCTCTCACCATTGCATTTAATTATTTTTCTCTTTTTTGCAGCTCAAAATGAATTTTGCAGTTTTACCCCTTGAGCCTCTAGTTATAATATAAAAATTAAGTTCTATATTTTTCTACTTTATACATCATCTACATTCATTGATATTTTCAGAATAAGGCACAATACAAAGAAAACTATTGTGTTTTCTGGCAACAATTTTGCCCAGGCTTGAGTTATTTATAATTACAAACTCTTAAAAATACAATAAAATTATTTTGTTTTAAATAGTTACATTTCTAATGAAGATCCCAGGTCACATTTTTGTTTAACAAAGAATAAACATTGAGTATCCTAGGTCAAAATTATTTATGAGTAAGCTATCTGTTTAATCAAAGAACTTTAGATCTTTTATTTGAAAATGTACTGGCATGCATATGTATCAGAAATCTAGGCATGATTAATTTTATAGGAATAAAATAGAAAATAATTGCAGAGAGGTAATTGTGCTATTGTTGCAAAGTATCCATATGATTGATATTCATAATCTATTGAGAAATATAGGAGAAGATTCACATTTATATCAAGAGCTGTCCCGAAGATATAATTCTGGATGCTGGGAAACACATCGCTGAAGTAGACACAAAGGTACTCATTCTTATGATAGACAATGAAACAATAAATATATGTCCAAGAGAAATATTGAATCTTGATAAATGCCATAGAGAAAATTTTATAAATATGATAATAGAGGGACAAGTTATAAAGAGTAAACATTTAAGATGATATGAAAATTCCCAGTGACTCAGGAGGCTGAGGTAGAAGGATTGCAAGTTCAAAGCCAGCTTCAGCAAGAGCCAGGCGCTAAGCAACTCAGTGAGACCCTTTCTCTAAATAAAATACAAAATAGGACTGGGGATGTGGCTCAGTGGTCAAGTGACCCTGAGTTCAATCACTGGTCCCCTACTCCCCACTAAAAAGGAGATGTTACAAGAATGACAAAAAGGAGTCAGTCATATGAAGAAGATGGAACAGAACGTCAGACACAGAATCAAGCATAGTGATTAATGAATGCATGAGGGTGATGCTAGATAGAGAGTAACTGGCAGTGGGGAGAGTGAGCGGAATGATGTATGCTGAGATCAGAGAGATATACCACTGCCACATCTTACCTCCAAAGTTGTCAGCCAGCAGCATTACTCTATGTGCAATACAGAACACTGGACAGGGACAGCCCTCTGGCTCCTGAGTGAAACCAGTGTGGGACAAGAGAAAGAAATGGCATATATATATGAGTATGATCTCTAACATAGACACTTAGTCCACCTCTTATTTTACTGTATCTCAAGTGATTCAGATTAATGAAGATTTTAATAGAAAGGAAAAACAGAGAAATTTAAGTTGAGCACATAGGAAGCTTTTTTGTTTTGTTTTGTTGTTGTTGTTGTTTATCCTGAAAATAAACTATCCCTAGGCTGAATAGAAGAAATCTACATTCAACTCTACTGATGTGGATTTTAGTCTTTTCTCTTTTCACCGACACCACCCCTACTCTCATAAATATTCCTTTTCTTTTAGGCATGTCTCAGGGTCAACTTCAGTTTTATGTATTGCTTGTGCTTTTGAAGATATTTACCCCCAAGGGAATCATTTACTTTTTAAATTTCAAAAACAAACATAAATGTTATTTCCTTGCAATATTTCATAAAGTAATAATTTCACATACCTTTGGCTCATATTTTTTAATAATAAGATCATCAACACTTTGGCATCAAAATATTATAAATAGATTGCAAGTAATATGAAATATAATGTAGGAAGAGCTTTTGTGTATTCCTGAAATTACTCCGGTGGGTGTCTATCCAGTTTCTACTGGGTCTGCATTAAATTTGTTCAGAAACCCAGGCCAGTAGTGAAAAGGGCTGAGCTATGAGCAACACAGTTGTGAAGGGGTTAATATTAAAATTCAGTGTTCTTCAACACGCATCTCATTTGTCTTCTTTGGATGGTGTGACCTAGACGTATGAATTACTGTGGACTAAGCATTATTGTGCAAAGGTCAAGTCTATTTGTTTTAAATTTACTGGATTACAAAGCCCTGGAAAAATACTTTAGTTCTTTCAGATTCTGCTTTTCTTTTTTCCTTTGCTTCTATAAATCAAAACCACAGTATTTTTCAAATGGGAAAAGTAATTTCTATATGTGAACTCTTCAGAGCTGCATTCTAAACCTGAAGTGATATACAATGGGGCTGTCTTGTTTAAAATATAGTAGAGATCATTTATTATGGGAGACTTGTATATTACACAACTGAGTATCTAAGGGAAAATGATAATTTTTCATATTTCAGTCAAATTTATGTAAATACATATGGTAGCATATGCATCCCTACCATTCCTGGCTTTTTGAGTTTTATCTACACTCATTTATATCTATTTTTTATTTTATTTTTTGTCTACCTTTTTATCTACACTAGTCTTCTGGCATTTTTGCCTCTATCATTCAATGTATCTAAATATATGCATCATGTTAGTCTACCTATAAATAAAAGATATATATTTACATGGTATGATTATAGAGAAAATTTTTTTAAAACCCAGCTTTATCAATCAAAAGTTTATAAAGCCTGTCAAATCCACTATTTAAATCAGTGTTTATCACAATACCACATTTTTTTAAAGACAGGTAGTATACCCACATTTTGTAAATGACGAAATTTTGGTACTAACAAATTCAAGTGACTTGCTGAAAAATAGATATTTCTGAAAAGAAAAAATAAAGGTCCCATAAAAGGGTTCATATCTATTCCAATATGATTTATATCACAAATATTTTAGAAGATCTATTTAGACTCCAATGTCAGCTAATAGGAAGTCATATATACAAAGAAAATATTGTTAGAATCCATTATTTGTTTCCCAGGAGCACTGTTCTCCACTGCCGTCACCGCATTTATTTCATTTTTTCCAAAAGTCAAAACCTCCAAAAATTGGATATTTTCTATATACATACGTGTGTATAAAATGCACAGTAAAGTCATGTTTCAAGTGGTCACAATATCACTGAAACAAGTACTCAAAGTGTTGACTTGAAGAAGACAATCTTATGTAAGCCTATAATTTTCTTACTTTTATTTACTTACTGTTAAATAATGTAATTTTTTTTTGTACCAGGGATTGAACCCAGGAGTGCTCAACCACACTGCCACATTATTTAGAGACAGGGTCTCTCTGAATTGCTTAAAGCCTCGCTAGGTAGCTGGGGCTGGCTTTGAACTGGAGATCCTTCTGCCTCAGCCTCCTTGAGCTGCTGGGATTATAGAAGTTTGCCACCATGCCCTGCTCCACAGTGATTTCCTATTAAGCAAATTGAATATATTACAAGCTGCATAGAATGCATATGTGTGATGAATGCGAATCTGTATCCGTTGTTTTTTCTTTCCTAGTGATATCATAGTGTCCAGGGGCCGGGACTATGTTTCAGCTCTTGGAGAGAAGATGTTCAACTTTTTGGTTAAAAATTCCTGTCCTTAACTGGCTTGTTCTCCATTATGGCCCCAAAGTTTTGGACTTATTTGATTCTTTTTTTTTTTTTTTCATTTTGAAGCAATCGCTTATGGTTCTATCAGAGTGACCAGTTACATAATTTATTGTCCCACTGAAATTTTGGTTATCTAATTATATAGCTTTGAAAACTTGATACATAAATGTATTGAAATTGTGGGTGAATAGGAAACAAGTAATCTGTCATAATGAGCGAAGAATCTCTCCTGGGAATACCTGTCATAAACAGAATTGTTGTTTTCTTCATGATCTACCAGCTCTAGTCTAGGTATGATAAATTTTGCTATAACAAAGTTGTTAAGCATCCTTTGAGGGATGAAAATATAACATCTAAATTTATTCAATAAATATAAATGAAGTTTCCCCAAGGATCTGTTACTGAAATTTCAAAGGAAAAGATGATCAAGGAATCAGTAATCTATTTATGAAGGTATGGCTGCTCAGGATCCGGGGAAACAGAATCTCAGTGAGATGGTCCTTGGAGAGAGAGAGTGGAGTAGCTGAAGCAAAACTAGGCAGTAATTAAACACAGTAGAAGTGGAGCAGGAATAAGAGCATACTCTAGGCTTCACTATGAGGAGGGGCACTGTGGAGGGAGGCAAGTCACTGAAACTCAGTGGAAAAAGAAGGACAGTGTTCCTTAATTGCCGAGAGAGAAGATAGAGTGGTTTCTGAAGGGACTTAAAGTATTGATAAACATCAGTCCAAGTACCAGTTAGTAGGACAAATTAGATTTGTTCATGTAAATACCAGGAAAGTCACTGAGCAAGTTTAAGCAGAAAAACAAGTGTGTGTGTGTGTGTGTGTGTGTATTTTGGGGTGAATATATGAGAAGATAGAATCATACCTGAAACTCTTTAAAGATCACTTTGAAGATGTTCTTTTGAAGATGGTGCCTTTACTTCTTGCCCCAACATTTAGAAATATTTCCAAGTAAACAAAACATTTGTAATATCATAAATAAATAATCACCAGGAATATCCTACTCTAAGTGGATAAGAAACTTTCAGCAATACCCAAAGGAAAAGAGAAAATATGAAAAAATAGAAAACCATGATAAATAGAAAACACAAGACAAAGGCACAGGAATGAGTCCAAATAGTTTAATACCCACTCCTCCCAACAAAGTATGAATAGGTTTATCTATTTAGAAAGAAAAATTATTTGATTAAATTGAAAAAAATTCTTATTGAACTATATGTAAAGTATCAGTTTAATAATCTACACAGTACCGTATCATAAAGAAGTAGTAATAAAAATGTTTTAAAACTACATAGCATTATATGGATGAACTTCACAAATATTATAAGGAATATAGAAGAGCCAGATACAGAATAATACAGATGGTAAAATTCTATTTTTCTACTACAAAATCAACCAAAAAATGTTTAAGGATGTATGTTTAGCATCCCTTCACTGTTAAAAAAAATATGAGAAAATTAAACTTATGGAGTTCCATGTTGGGTGGGCATCATGAGATGTTTCTGTGGAGTTGGTAGTGCATATTGCTTCAGCTGTGTAGTGGTTATGGATCGTCACTGTGTGGCACACTATTGACATGTAGCAGTCATGACCTTGAAAGATGTTTAGGAGACGAAATCTTCAGATCAGTGATGGCATGGCTATAGAGGAGAAGAGGTGTCAAGGGTGATTCCCAGTTCTGGAGCTTGAATTCCTAGAGGGATAACAGCATCCTGTGCTGACAAAAGGAACACTACAAGAGAGACAATTTTGAGAGGTGACAGATATGAATTTAATCTGAAATGGTAAAATTTAAGATATATTTAGGACATGCAAATTAGTTATATATTAGTTATTATAAAATACAAATTAGTCTAGTAAGTGGTGGAATGTGTAAGTCTAAAAATCCAAAACTGTTCTGAAAGTTATTATCATGTAACAAGACATATGAACCTGGGGGTCCTTGGCTTATGCATGGCAATTAATAGCATGATGGTAGTTGAGATTTTTGGAGAGAGAACCAGGGCTGAGAAAAAGAGTCTAAGATAAAGCCATGAAAAATGCTTATGTTTATTTGCCAGAAGAGTCCCATGAGCTGTGTAGAGCAATAGAGCAATGACTAAAAACAAGCAATGAACCAGGAGACAGTGATGGTACACGAGATGAAAAAAAGATAATGTTTCCTACCAAAGGGACATAATCATTAATATTTCTTACCCCTTTCTCAGTAAAATGAGACTGGCATGTCCTTTGGGTTGGAACACAGTGATGGTTTCTCAGTTGAGTATTGGCAATGGAAGTTCAATAAGCACCACTTGAAAACTGAGTGGGAATTTAGAGTTCAGACAACTCTTAAAGAGAATGAGAGCAAAGAGAAGAATTGAGAGAAATGTGTATTTCAATGGAAATAAACAAGCTGAAAAATTAACATAAATGGGAGAAGGTGAACATGCATGGAATATGGCCATATATGGAAGTTTAAAGTAAAAGCTCCAGTCACTAAGTTGATATCAGCAGCCTCTGCCTTTTGTACGCAAACTACCCTGGCCCTACAAATTGAACTACTGAGAAGATTTCAGGTAGACAATTTGATTTTGATTAGGAGAAGTTCCACTATTCCTAAACACATATATTCATAAGAATATTTTAAAAAGGAAATTAATTCTTAAAAATGGTATTATTCAACTTCTTAATAAAAAAGAGTGAAGGTGTTCTTTAAGTACATAAAAGATTCAAATAGGTAAGAAAGCAAGAAGATGCCTTAGCTTTCCTTCTATAGCTGTGTTATTCACCTCTTTGTTACTGTGGCAAAATAGCTGAGCAAAACATCCCAAAGGAAGAAAGATGTATTATGGTTCACAGTTTCATTGGTTTCAGTCCAAGTTGAGTTGGGTCCGTTGTTGTGGGCCAAGGTGAGGCAGAGCAACATGCTGGTTAGTGTATAACAGATTAAAACCGCTTACTTCACATAAACAAGTAGAGAAAGTAAGGAAAGGGCCTGGGATAAGATTCACCTTCCAGGTTTTGCCCCACGGACCTATTTCCTCCCACTAGGCCCCGCCTTCTAGAATTTTTACCACATCCAAATAATGCCACCAGATCATTAATCCATCATGATCCAATTACTTGTCTCTTGCGTTCCATCTCTGAACATTGCTACACTGGGGACCAACTGCACCACAGAGGAGCCTTTGGGAAAATTCCACATCCAGTCATAACAAAAGTGCATACGGTAATCCCAAGTAATTTGGCAATCATCTATTGTCCTCACAGATAAAATGTCCCTTTGGAAGACTTAATTTCTATAATCCCACATGATTAGTAAAGGCAAGAATATAAGAAGTTTAATGATGACTTCTATTATATAAAAATAGTTGCTCATATTGGCCTGGTGCTTGATAGTTTTTCAATTGATTTTTCCATGTAGCTAATTTTAGCTTCAAATCAGTTTTGTTTTATGCTTAGGAAAAGCATGGCTGACATAATTTTACAGATAAGAAAATGAAGACCAGATTGGATTACTGACTTGCAGAAAATGCCATGATTTATCTGGACTCTGCTGTTTGGATATTCAATCTTTGGACATTCATTCCATCCTGTCCCTCTTCATCACACAGGTTATATGCCTATAAGACATATTGTAACATAAAGTTGCAAAAATTATTTTTAATCTCCTAGGTAAAAATCACAGCACACCAACTCTATAAGGCTGAACCCAGATAGTATTTCATGTTAAAAGACAAATAACATTGTTCCCATGAGAATTTTAGGACTTATCTTTCTAGATCTGTGAAGAATGTCACTGGTATTTTGATAGGGATTGCTTTGAATCTGCACAATACTTTTGTTAATATGACCATTTAAAAATACTAATTCTGTCTATCCATAGAACATGGGGTCAGGTCATTTATCTTTTACAATCTTCTATTTATTTATTTTTCAATGCTCTGTAATTTTTCTTACAAAGTGTTTTCAGCTCATTGGTTCAAATTATACATAATTCTTAAGGCTATTACAAATGGAATTGTTTTTTGATATCTGCCTTAGTGGGTTCATTATGTATAGAAAATCTACTGATTTGGTATATTGACTTTATCCTATTAATTTTATGAATTTTTTATCATATCTAAAAATATTATGGAAGAGCTCTTAGAGTTTTGTAAGTATAGAATAACATCATCTTCAAATAGGGCTACTTTTACTTCTTCCTTTGCTGTTTGTATCTCTTTTCTTTCTTTCACTTGCCTAATTGCTCAGGCTAAAATTTCAACTCCTACAATGAATAAGAATTATGAGAGCAGACATCCTTGAATCAATAAATGGAATGCCATCAAACTAAAAATCATCTGCCTGATGTGATGGCCCGTGCCTATAATCATAGCAACCTGGGAGGTTGAGGCTCACAAGTTTGAAAGCAGCCTAAGCATATTCTCAAAACCATATCTCAAAATAAAAAGTTCTGGGGATGTAGGTCAGTGGTAGAATGCCACTGGGTTTAATTCTCAGTACCAAGAAAAATTAAAAATCAGAGTTTCTGCCCAGCAAAGGACAAGTATAGAACATAAAGACAGGGCCTACCAAATAGGGGATACTTTTTCCAGTTACTCTTCTAATAGAGGTTTTATATCCAGAATACATAAAGAACTTAAAAAAAAGAACACAAATAATCAAATCAATAAATGGGTGAATGAACTAAACAGATACTTTCAAAAGAAATAAAGATGGGCAACAATTATACTAAAAAATCATCAATATCCTTAATTATCAGGGAGCTACAAATCAAAACTACACTGAAATTTCATACCATTCCAGTTAGAATGCCAATAATCAAAATACAATAACAAATTCTGGTGAGAATGTGAGGAAACAAACTCTTAAACACTTTGGAGGCAATGTCAACTAATAAAACCACTATTGAAATCAGTACGAAGCTTTCTCAAAAGACTATGAATGGATCCACCCAAGGTCCCAATAATGCCACTCCATAATATTTATACAAAAAAAAAATTAAAGTCAGCATACTGTAGTGCTTTGTGAATACACATGTTTATAACAGCACAAATTACAATTAGCCACAGCATTGAACCAGTCTAGGTGTTCATGAATAGATGAATGAATCAAGAAAATGTAATGTATGTAAACAATGAAATTTTATCCATTCATAAAGAAGAATAAATTATGTCATTTGCAGGAAAATGATTGGAACTGGAGAGTATTATGTTAGATGAAATAAATCAGATTCAGAAAGTCAAGGGTCATATGTTTTATCTCATATACAGAAGCTAAAGGACAAAAAAGAAATGCCATGAAAATGAAAGATCAGTAAAGAAAGGATAGGGGATATTAGGGAATGAAATTAATTAAATTATATTATGTGAATATATGAATATGCTTAATGAAACTCCTATTATGTATAATTGTTATGCATTAATTTTTTATATATAAAAAGAAGCAGGCAGTTCTGGGAAACAAAAAGATGGCATCTCCGAGGCCAATAGGGCATGACTCTAATATAGCTGAGGCTTCTTAATAACAGAGGTGCCTTCCAAGGCCCTATCCCTAACTCTCCATGCAAAGTTTTGTATTGTTTTTACTAAAGAGGTGGGTGTATTTCTGGAAGTCATATCAAGTGACCAAGCAAAACTTAACTATACATAAAAAGCGATTGCATATTACATAAATATATATGATTAAACTCAAATTATTAGTATATATTATACATATATGTATATATGTGAGTGTGTGTGTGTGTGTATGTAAAATAGGTTTGTATTACCTGTCTCCCTCACTAAAATGTAATTTACTGAGGACAAGAACTTTATTTTGTTTTTGATGATAGCCCAGCACCAAGAAGAGTGCTTGGCACATATTGGGTGCCTAGGAATTATTGAAGTATGAGTGGATATGAATCAGAACATTGATAGGTAAAGAACTTAAAACAGTCAGAATTGCCATAATCTTCAGAACTCAAGAGAAGTAAGAAAACATGAGCATCTCTAAATAATGAATGTTTCCTTTAGAACAATCGTTTTTTTATGAATGCTGACAATCAAGAATCTGTTCTTTTGATTATTTCTAGGATTCATCTAAATTTTGGTCTATTTTGGAGCTAAGAAGGATGTTTTGCATTTAGTGCAAGACCAGTGCAGTTTTGAAGGATGTGTCACATATTCTTAGACTGGCATTATTAAACTTTCAATTTTCTTAACTTCCCTGGACTGATTCAATACCTAACAGGCAAATTTCATATCCCATATAAGACACCTGTCATAAAGATGATGTGGAGCTCATATCCAGCTTTCTGATAGAGATTTCACAGAGTAAATTGATTCAGGAATTTTTCATTATGCTTTTTCTCCCTTATATAGTTTGGCCACAGGAAAATTATAGTAATCATGAGTTTTAAATAATCCCAATAGCAATGACAGTAATATCTCATGGTAAGTTAATAAATTGACATTTTGGTTACTTTAACCACTTTTATGAATAAATTTTTATGGTGGTTCAAAATAAGAACACAAAGTATAGGTGATTTCTTCTTGACAACCTTCATTTTTACTTTTTTTTTTTCGTTTAGTCCAATTGATTCCTACTGAGGAAATCATGATTCTCATTTTGTCTTTAGTAAAGTGTGAAGCCGTTACATCTATGTTATTTCACATAACCATCATGAGAAATAATATTCTCATCTCATTTTTATAGATGGAAGAAGGGCCAGCAATATCTGTTAATTTGCTCAAAGTTGAAGGTACTTTAGGAGGTATTTAACCATTCACTCATCCAATTTATTGATCATCTCCTGTGAACCAGATATTGATATAGGTTTTTAGACTTCAGTTAATCACACAGTATTTATATTCTAGCTAAAGAAGACAGACACAACTGTGTGCTAAGAAGGTAACATGTGCTATGGAAAGACAAATAGAAAGACACCTATAAGGAGTTCTGGCGATGGTTAATGGAAGCCTAATTAAGAGTCATATGAACTCTGAAGCAAAGCCTTAGAAGAGTAATGAAGGGAGCTCTGTGAACACCTGAGAAAAGAGTGTTCCAGGAAATGGTGAGTCAAGTGCAAGATGCTAAGAAACTATCTGACATACTCCAGGAGCAACATGGGGGCTGGTGAGATTGAAATCAAATCAATGAGGGAGAATGGCAAATAATAAAGTCAAATGGGCAAGGTGTGTCATTCTTGAGAATTTTATGTATTTGTTTTATTTTGCTGGGGACCAAACTCAGGGCCTTGCACATTTTAGGCAAAACTCTACCACTAATATATACCCTTGAGCCCTTTTTGAGGATTTTATGGGCCTTTGTCAGTAACTTTGACATGAATAAAATGGAAATCTATGTGGATTTGTGACCAGAGTGGCATTATCTAACTTGTTTTTGAAAGTGATCATTCTGTCCACTGTGATGAAAGTAGATTAGGCAGGGAAAGGGTAGAATCGGGGAGAATTCTGAAGAGCTGCAGTCCTAGCCCCAGCTGGAGCTTCTGCTGGCTCATATCAAGATCTGAGGTAGTTAGGAATAGTTTCTGGATACCAATTTTGAGTATGGAGTCAATAGGATTTCTTGCAGGTATCTTATGTGAAGAGAAAGAAGAATTGAGGTTTCTGGCATAAG